CGGTTCAGGGAAAGCTTAGTTTTATTTTGGACTTTTCAACAAAATTGAAAATTAGAAGAAAAATGAGAGCAGTCACATGGCAAGGGAAGTCAAACTTGGTCCACTGCCTGTCTCTGGAGAAACGTGGTGGCCGTTGGGGGATGGCTGCCATTTTCTGCCAGGAACCACAAGCTTCCTGACCATCTTTCTGGGCCCTTTGCGGGCCCTGACCCACTTTCCCAACACGAACTGCGAGCTTTCCCCAAACCCAGCACTTAACATTGTAGCTCAAACTCATGCAGCAAGTGCTGTCAATCTTAGCTCATCAGCTCTGCTAGGCAACCACACAAAATGACAAAGTCGTCACCCTTGCCTAGAGGGAGCCTCACAAGTCCCCACTCGATCATTCAGTAGCAAACCTAAAGAATGAGCTCCATGCAAGTCCTCTATCCCGACAGCTCTCACCTCTCAGTTCCAAAATGCCAACACACTTTAAAGGGCTTCCCTATAGACTTGCTAGGAACTCTCGGGGCTGGCAGGATTGAAGGGAGCCGATCTGCAAGCGTCTCCTGATGCACACTGGAGGAGTGGAAACAAGGTGTCCACCGATTGTAATTGTGGAGACGCAAAACTGATGGTCTGCTGTCACCCCGCACTGCACTCACAAAAAGTTGCAACTTTTTTGGCAGAGCATTACATTCTTCAAATTGTAGAAATGCAAGAGTTAAGGAGAAGTGTTGGCATCTAGCATATATGGCCTATATAGAAGGTGTCAATGTTTGGAGGGAGTGGGGGTGGTGGTAGAAATGTGAGCCTTCTTTGCTAGTTTTCCTATGCTGAGCCATGTTGGGCTTTTGTAATAAAAAGAACACTCACTTTGAACCCTTATTACCCAGCCACAAAGCCTATCTATCACCTGCGGACAGCAGCCCTGCAGCCCCTTTCACCTGTAATGTGCATCATCGTGCTAGGATTACCTGAACTACCTGAACTACAGGCAGCTTACACTGCTGCTTATTTCCCAAAGCAACATTTTCTGGCACCAGTAGCCTCCGGCAGTGATGGAACACAATGCCTACCATGTAAACACAATCAGCTTCCAACCTCATGACCATCCTCAGGCCCCTCCATCATCCCCACCCCCCACTCCATGCAGCTCAGCATCTCCCCTGCTCACTGCACAGTCCCTCGGAGCTAGAACCTCTGTGCCAGGCAGGGCAGAAGTCTCCTCTGTGAATGGCTGCCATCTCTCCAATCCCTTTTCCAATGCTGTATGGAAAGACACTCGGACACCCATGTCCTCAGTTTCACCCTGAATCAGTGCTTCCCAGGCTGGAGTTCCAAACGCCAGACTCAGCATAGACCGTCAAACTCACTGCGATACTGACTGGATGTTCTCAATAGCAGTGACTCTAAAGGCCAGTGAGCAGTGGTAGGGGCTAAGAGGGCCGTAAAGGTAGGTGTGGATGTGCACGTTAAAACTCGCACCATTCTGTTTGCCATTCTTCCACCTAAAGGCACTTCCTATCTCCACAATACCCTTTGGGTTCCGTCAAAGCAGCTGAGCAGCACACATACCATCATTAAAAAGGCACGGGAGCAGCAGTAGGAGCCCCCAAGTGGGACAGTCCCAGGCGTGGTGCTCAGGGCACATTGCCTCCCTCGCCGGAACTCATTTCTCATCTTTTAGTATTAGCCTCACTTAACATTACACACACACACAGCTTTACAACAAAGCTGCCACCTCTGGACACCACCCAGTCCAATTGGACACCCCAGTCCAATCTCATCTCCAGACATAACCACCCCCAGAACCAAAATAACATTTGCCGAACGCTTTTGAATTTTAAATAGGAGCCCTGGTGGCCAATGTCGGTAGTTCAAAGCCACCAGCTGGGCCTTCCTCACTACTTCCAAAAAAGGTACCCTCAGAAACCCAGGGGAGAATTCTACTCTGTCCCAGAAGGTGGCAGAAGTTAGAATTGACTCTTAAGAGAGCGAGCGGGCTGGTTGTCATTTTAAAGTTAACCTGTGACATCACTTCTAGGAAGTAGATAGTACTCCATTTTTACAGTTGGGGCCACTAAGGCTCAGGAAGGTGAAATGGTTTACCCACAAATCTCACCTCAAGGAGATGGGAGGTTTGAGAATTTGAATCCCAACACTGACATCTCGAACCGTATGCATTCTTGTACACCTCACTGCCTTGCTTTGCTAAACAAGCTTTTGAACATCTTAAAGCTCCTTTGAGCCATTTCAGAAACGAAAACTCGAGTTCAGTCTCCTGTCAAAAGTAGCTGGCACCCAGTGAGGCTGCCGAGTGTGAGGCACTCCCCAGCTGTTGCCCACAAATTAAACCCCTTGCCTGCCTGGAAACAAGGCCGGGGTGAATTCCTGAGCTGCTCTCACCCAATCCCACCTTGGGATGCTCGCAGGAGGCCGGCATTTCTACAGACTCACAGCCTCGGAAATGCTATGGTGCAGCCGGTACACTCGGATTCCTTTCACCTCCATTTCCAGGCTGTCTAGAAGGGCTCTCTCCTCCCTTTCTTGTTTTTCTTTCTTCTCTTCTCCAACACCTACATTTCTGAGGAGGTGAAATCAGAGACTTGGTAGTTTGACTGAAGTTCGGACCAGTGGCTTTGGAAGTTTCCTTCTCAGCTTTGATTACTTTGCCCCAAACATTTACGTCTTAACAAGTGGCCTGTGCACGTGCCACCTCCCTTTGTCACCAACTCTCACCCAACGTTGGACTCTGGATCCCTACCCCGCCCCCGGCACGTGATGACGCACTCCATACTGTCTTTCTGGGCAAGTCTTTCAAGGCGGGAAGGAGAGAGGGTGAAGTACAGCGGACAGTGAGTCTGAAGGGAAAGGCCAGACACACGCCCTCCCACTTCATACACACCACACCCCCCACTGGCCTCTAAAGCAGGCACAACTCGAAACTAGTTGTGAGTGATGGTTAAAAAATTTTGGGTTTTATTGTTTTTGCTAAACAATACTTAAAAAAATCATTTTGAAGGCAGGGCTTGAATTATTTAATTTTGATCCATTTATTTAATTAAAAAAAAAAAGGAAGGGGAGAGAGATCATGGCCAAAAATAAAAAAATAATGACCTTCCCCACCCCCCCACTTTAGCCAGTCACACGGGCATCACCCACATTCCACTTGGCACCTGGGAGTTAGGTGGTAGTCCCTTCCATCCCCCACGACCACCTGAAGGTCTGGGAGCATCAGGCACCTGTGGCCATGCTCAGTAGGTTAGTCAAAACCAGACTGGTGGGCTACTGTCTAGAGAACTGCCCAGGCTTCCTGCCCACCAGCTGAGCAGATACAAACTGTGAAAAGCTTGTAAAACCTTAAGTGGGGAGGAGCAGCACAGGAGGAGAGGCTGGCGGCCGCAGACAAAGTGCCATCACCCAAGCTTTTTGCTGGGCTAGCAGCTCTGGAAATGGATTTTAAGAAAAGGGTGGGTGGGCTCCAGGCTCCTTAGAAGAGTCACCCATTGAGGAGGAGCTGAGCTGTGCCACGCAAAACAGTTCTTCCTGCATGGAGCACAGGAGTGGAGAGGGCCGTCTCTCTCCAGCTAGGGGAGTGAGGAGGCGGTTCTTCTAGTACCATGAAGTAAGACAAAGGCAGAGGGGCCGAGTCCTGAGGTTCTGGCCAAATGCGAGCCTGGCACGCACAGGTGAGGGCTACAAGAGCCATCAGGGACCCTCAAACCCCGAATCCCAATTGGAGATTCTCACAGGGAACTATGTCAAGTTGGGTGCCTGGCTACAGGGCGGGTGGGGAAGGCAATGTATCTTTATTTTGGAGGGAGGAGGTGGGAGGAGCGGCCATGATCTAGTAAAAAGAGACCTGCAAGAAGCAGAAAATATTTAGAGAACATTTTAATATATATTTTCATATATATATTTAAAGTTAAGAAAAATAAAACTAATTCAAGCCATGCCCTGTGCAAAAAAAAAAAAAAAAGGAGGGGGATGGGGAGAAAAAAATGCGGGTGGGGTTGATTTTTTGTGTGTGTGTGAGACCCCTGTCTGTTGCTCTGGTCTCAACTTAAGTATCACAGTCAGCTTGTTACTTTTATTTTGGGAGAGAAGATGTCAAAGTTTCTTTCAATCACTCAGAAGGCAAGTGTAGCCACTTATAAAAACAGAAGAACAGGGAACAGACCCAGGACAGGAAAAGTCAAGAGTCGGAAGAGCAGAGCGGGAAGGAATGGGCATGTTCAAAAATAAAACTAACAAGGTGACTGTTCCAGAAGGGGCTGTGAAAGGACACGGTGGACCGCAGTCGGTTAGTCAAGTAATGATTCAACTTTTAAATTATTCTCTTGTTCTTTTGTGTTGGGTGTTTTGTTTGTTCAAGTCTAAGATTTGGAAACGCTGGCCCTTCGTTAACAAGAGCCAATAGGAACTATAGGATCCCTCCCCTCCCCCGGCCTGCTCCGCTGCAGCCACGGCCGCCTCCCGGGCTGGATCTTGGAAGAGTCCTCCAGGTGTGTGGACTCAGGATGACAGGGCAGCCTCCTTCTGTGGTTGCTGGGCTTGTGAACGCTGCAGTATCTTTTGGCTTTCCACGTCTCTAAAATGTTTTTCAACCTGCAAGAGATCAGGCAGCGATGGATGGGGAAAGGAGCTGAGCAGGCAAAGTCTCTGCGCCCCCCAACAGGCCACTGCCAGGCTTCAACAGCCCCGACCTGGCTGGTCAGCCCATGGACTCCTCAGGCCCGTGGGCCCTCGCTCTCTACTGGCCTTCTCAACCCCCTAGTGAGGGGGTATCTCCTGTCTCAGTCACCTTCTCTACAGCTTCAGCTAAGACTGGCTGGGAGGAGCTAATTCTATCAACAACAAAAATCTCTATTTTTCTAATTAAAAAAAAAAAAAAGTACGGAGTTTATTATGACCCAAACTCCCCTTCCCTGGTCACACAAGTGTCTAAGGGTGAGCTGGAGGGGTGTGAGCTTTCACATCCGTGATGTTAGTCTCTCAATGCTCCTTGGAGGAAAAGTCAGGGTGGGGCATTTGGTTTTCGTTTAAAAATATTTGATCTCACTTTTAGAAAACCAGGCAACCACACCCTCAGGGTCAGAGAGATGAGGATGGCAGCAGGTTTATACCACCACTGCCAGGCCAGCGCTTCCTAAAAGGAAGGCAGTTTGGCTGAGGATGCAGCCTGGGAGACAGGAGCTGCTCTGGCCCAATTTCCAAAAAGACACACTGCCCAGGATGTGTGGTTGACTGGGCACTTTGGGCACCACAACAATTCCCCCCCCCTCCCCCCCGCCCCAAGCTCCCAACCCTGTACTTACTATTTTGCGTACATGGCTCAGTGCACTCCCTTCTTTGCCTTTACAGTTTTCCACTTGATAGGGGGGTGTAATAACAACTTCTTCCATGACTACGATGTTTTTTTCTTGCCATTTACAGTCTTTAATACTGGAAGGAGAAGAGAGTAGGTGAAAGGTTACCTCTTGCAGGCACCCCCCACACCTCCTGCTGTGTGAGGAACACCAGCAAGCTGGCCTCAAGTTCCTAGTCACCACTCGGCCAACAACTCCAGCCGAGCCCCCTCAATGCCAGAAGCAGCTGTGAATTGTTTCTGGGGCACCACTGGCTGGGAAATAGCACTGACACAGGTGCACCTCTCTCCCAAGCAGCACTCAAAAGAGGACTTGAGAATCACCGAAAACTTGGGGGCTGCTTCAGAAGTCCAAAGGAAATGGAGTCACAAATAAACAAGTAGGCTCAGGCCATTAGCTGCAACTGAGAGAATAACCTAGGCTACCAAGGCCCAGGCAGTAAAAATAACAGGCTCTGCCTGCCAGATGATTTGTCACAAATTACTGACTCTGGCAACCAATGCAGAGGCAGCCAAAAAGATACTGGCAACGCCAGATTACCGACTTACATAAAACCATACCACCAGCCGTTACAAACCCACCCCAAAGACCACGATACCGAGGACTCCAGGCAAGCACGATGGTTCGGAACAAACAGGCACTCCTCGGCCATGCACGCCCAACCGTTAGCATTGAGGTATTAGGTTACAAATGTTTGCAGGGCACCTGCAAGTGTTTCCTGGTGCTTTTTTCAATTCAAAGAAAGGTATGCTGCTAGACTGACTGACACCAGATATGAACTGTCCCTCACTATTCCAACAGATCAACAACGTAAGGCATGCTGAGCAGTGAAACTCATTTGGAATCTGGGGACTGCATGTACACAACAAAGGAGTACAGCTGTGTGCCAGGCAGACTTCGCTGACAAGATCAGGCGGTGGACTGTAACTTGCCAACCCTTATGCTAGCTAGGAGACACCCTTGGAAAGGGGAAAAAGGGACTCCATCCCCCAACGCTCCCAATGAAAACAGCTCCCTGAGGCAGCTAGGGAAACGTACTCCCGGAGAAGCTCAGGGCAGCCATTGTCACTAAGACTGCCTTCACATACCTGGAAACATTCGGACACACCAGGGTCTCAAACAGCTCTGATGCTGGCTGCCATCTGTGCACCAGACCCAGGTGGTTACACCAGGTAAAAGAGGCAGGGTAGGGGTGGGCAGGGTGTCAAAATGCCTCGTTTCCCGGCAGCTAGAGAAGCCGGGAGAGTCGAATGACTTCTGCTATGACAAAGCATCTTTGGGGAAGTAGTCGGAAGACCACTTCCCGCTCTCCTCTGCGTACGACCTAGCTTTCCCTTTTTCACACCACATCAGCTTGGGGAGAGAGATGCAGCACAAAATGAGAGCAAAGAAGGTTGCTATTCTAAATTATGGAGTACTAAGCAGCAACCAAGAAATCTGTTGCGAAAGACTTCTTTACACGGTTTCAACAAACAAAGGACTAGAGGACGTGAGGACTGGACCGTGCCTGGCCCAAGCCATGGGATTTTCAATGGCCTTACATGCGTGCAAAAGCCGGATAGTGAGTAAGATGACCAGGGAAGAACTGATGCATTTGAGTTATTACGGTGCTGGAAAAGAATTTGAATATACCACGGAATGCCAGAAAAGCAAAGAAATCCGTGTTGGAGGATGTGCACCCAGGATGCGTCTTAGAAGGGAGAGTGGTGAGATTCTGTCCCACTTACTCTGGACATGTCGGGAGGTGGGACCAAGCCCTGGAGGAGGACATCATGCTTGGGAAAGTACGGGGTCAGCAAAAGAGAAGCCACCCTCAGAGAAATGGGCTGACACAGTGGCTCACCAATGGGCTCACACACAGCCTGGCCTGTGAGGCTGGTGCAGGGCCGGGCAGCGCTTCTTTCCACAGTACACACGGAACCAGCTCCACGGCCCTAACAGCAGTACTAGGTCGGAAAAGTCCTTTGGAATTATCAATTCAAAACTACAATCTATCGACAAAGAAAGATTGAGAGAAAACTTATCTAAGATGCCATTCTCTGTGGCCTGTGGCAAACATCCATGTCTGGATGCCCAGGGCAGTGTCGGCTGCCTCTCAGGGAGGCCTCTCAGGTACATACCACCCCACTGCACAATCTGGCAGCTCCACCCTGGGACAAAAGCACCCAACTCACGTCTTGTGAATGGTCTGGAAGAGCTGCTGGCCCTCTAGGGAAACACCAGCGCTGATTGCATAGGCCTGGCTCAGCTTCTCCTCCTTCTCTGTCCGTGCTTTGCTGGCAAGCTGTAGAGGGGAGAGGAAAGGAGCTTAGCAAACACTCACCTGCAGTCAGGACCTGAGCCGAGAAGAGGAGGCCAGAAGAGATTGGTTTGGGCGGATTCCATTTTCAAAGAGAGCAAAAAAAGGACATCAACAAAATGCACGACATACCGGAACAGGAATGCTCTTCCTAGCACACACAGCTTCCTTCCCATGCTTACTGGGTGACTGCAGTCACGGTGGGAAGCAGATACAGCCCCGGGGGAACATGAGACGGACTAGACACAGGTCAGAACTCATGAACAAGGGAATGCCAGGCAGCAAGTTGTTCTCAGGAGGAAATTAAGCAGGGCCCTGGGGTAAGAGCAAGGCTGAGGGCCAGGGGTGTGTGCGCTATTTTCGACGGGATGGTAGCCAGACAGAGGTCATGTACATGCTTCTGTTTAGAGGAGAGAACACAGGGCCATGGGTTTAGGCAGAAATTGCAGCTTCATAGTGTGAGATTCTAAAGACTTGACCATTCCAGCACCATGATTCCTGCTCTCTGGAGAAGCCAGGCGCATCACATACACTCACCATGGATACTGATACTGTGCTGAAGGCAGCCCTGTCCTGTCCTGCCTAAGAATTGACTTTTGCCTCATGCCTGTTCCTTGACTGCCCTCTGGTGGAACAATCACAAACCGACCACAAGAGGTGGCATTCTGGAAAAAGGGCCCCCCAAGGACCATTTCTTTGGCCCCTCCTACACCCCAGGCCCCCACCCCACCCTACTGACTGCTCCGGATTCCAGAGGTACAAATCTGTGTAGGGCAAAACAAAACTGCTGGCAAAAGTGAAAACCAAACCCTAAACACACACAGGCTCGGAAGGTGTGTGTATGTTTGAAAGGGGAACAACTGATCAGAAGGCTTGCCGTCGCCGTCCTCGTCCTTGCTGGCCTGTTAGGCTGAGCAGCTGGGCACACTGGGACCACACCTACCTGCACAATTCCTTCCTACACACGTGGCAGGATTCCACCTCAGCATGGTCCGGAAGGCCCTAGCTGGGTGGAATCCTTAGCTACTGACATTCTCAGTGTGTCCAGTGACAGCCTCAAGTAATAAACCAAACAAACGGGGAGGGGCCCTCCCGCAGGAGAGGGCGAGCAGAATGGCTCCTGTCTGTCCTGGGGAGGGAGCGCTTTCTTAAGGCTGGGTTGGAGCAGGGAGAAAGGGGCCTAGGTAGACTCATCCAAGTCTCCAAGACCGTCCACTCCCAAGTCAGGTGGCCAGCATGAGGCAGTGTGAGCATAGGCCGGCTGGCTCTCACCAAGTCATTTTGCCTCCCCAGGCAACAGAGGGCCGCACAGCCAAACTGCCACAGAGCGGATAGGGAGCCCCCTTTCTCATGGTCCATCCTCAGGACTTGCAGAGAGGGAGATGCAGCCAGAAGCCATCCTTAGCCTGGCTGGCCCTGCCTCCTGGCCCCACTCAACTCCAGGCTGAGAGAGAGAGAGAGAGAGAGAGAGAGACACGCGCGCGCGTGCGCAGGGCTGGCAGCATCCCCCTGAGCCTTGGCAATCCCAACCGCAGCAAGAAAGCCTCAGGGCCTGAAAGCAGCCGTTTCCAAGGAAAGAGGACAGGGCAGCGGCAGGGGGCAGGGATGTGAAGCAGCAACAAGCAAATCGTTCTCAGTCCCTGAGAAAATCCTGGTAGTACTGAGTTTCCTAGAGGGTTGCTTTCCAAACAGCTCCTCAAATGCTGAAGTCTCCAGGCTGCCGAGGAGAACAATGGTATTGTTCTCTGGGAGTTGCCAAGCTCCTGCAGGGTCCCTGGGCAGGAGAAACACCCACCCACCCCAACACAGCCACCTACCCAAATCCCTTTCAAATATGGTTATCCCTGAAAACCAAAACCATTCCAGAAGGTGGGGTCAGACTAGGCTGCTTCTATAAAAGCTAGTGACAAGTAGATAACCGGAGGACTCAGAGCAAAATGTCCCTGCCACCTATACAGTCAGTTCAGGAAGGAGGAGGAGCTGGCTCAGGACTCAAGGCACCAGTGCGGAGTGATTAAGACTGGAGCTGAGAATTTAAGCTCAAGAAGGAAAAGGTTGGGCAAGGAACTGCTCTTGAATTGCTGCAGGGATGTAAACCTTGGCCCCAAGTGATCGTTTCATAGGGACAGTGTGAGGATCAGTGAATACTGGTTAGAGTAAGAATTTCACTCACACACACACACAAATACTAGTTGTGCAGTTTCCTCAAAAGGCTCTGGAGAGTGGACTAGCCTCAAGTGGTAGGAACAGACCCCAAATGCAAGTTCACTATGTCCCAGTTCACCCCACTATCCTCCCCACCCTACCTGCACTGGCCACCGTGCTCTGGAGAGCTAGGCCCTCAGTCCTCTGATAAATCAGTTTACAGGCGGGATTTTCATGGGAATCCAAAAAAACGTTTCACCTCGACCTTCAGCCACCCTCTCTTCTACAGGAGCTCCTTCCAGGCACATCCATGAAAACTCCTTTAGAACTTGGGTTTCTGGGAGCTAATATAATAAGCTTCCTTTTGCGAAGCAAGTGATATCACTCTACTCCCAGGCTGCTATTGCACAAAGCTAAATTCCCCACACTAGTCTTACAGGTAAATGAATGTGTAACCATAACAGCCCAGCTGGTCTCGGGAAACAAGTCCACGGTTATGGTCAACTGTTCTTGAGAGGGACAAAGGCGTTGCATGAGCTTTTTTAGGCTTGGATCGGTCATCAGGATGGTTGCCTTTTAAAACTCAGTGACTGGCCTGTCTGGATAGGACAGGCTGGATGAACAATCTGGAGGAGAAAACAACGGGACTGACAGTTC